TATCAGCGGCTTTCCCGTCGACTCAACTTTACTATTTCCTGCGGCTCTCCTCCTTTGTCAACGAGCCGTTCCGCTCCAAGGCTCAGAAGCTTCTTACCCAGGTCTTGCACAAGCGAGAACTCCAGGTCCATTTCTGGCATAGACCATGGATACGCTTAGGTTTCAAATGCCAGACTTTGGTGTGATCAAGCACGAGCGCTATGTCGACAATCGCTTCACACTTTTGAGGGATGCAGCGCCTTCGTCAGCAGTCCTTCGGAACTTTCTGTCACTGGAATTTTATCGATCTCGGGCTAGGCTTACCTCATGGCAAATCCGAAGATGATGATGACTGGGGCGGACACATAGTGGTACCAGGACGCCATGCTGCCGCTTCGAACAGCAGGACCGACCATCCGACGCACACGGTTGACCTCATTCAGCTTCGTGTTCGCGCTCCGGCGCCATCACTGGGCAGCCATCACTTCGTGCTTCGCTTGAGGAAATTGCCATGCGCATCAACGATGTCTTGTACTACACCCTTTCTTGCATTGCGGAGTTGGTCTATCCAGACCCATCCAAATGGAAGCAGTCTTGGGAGACAGTGTACCGGAGCCTCATGCCGCACCGTGAGAAGATCATCCGGGATGAGCACAGAGTGAGATCTGTCTCGGAACTGACAGCAGAGAGACTCACTCCCGCATGGCAACCCAGGAGCTTGGACCACGGAGGTCATCCGTGAGATCTCCCGGGAGTTTGACATCGCTGTAGACAATTTGCCTGAGCAACTCATTGTTCAGTTGGGCGTCCTGGAAAAGTGCTGGCCGCACATCCAGAAGACCCCGAGGACACACTACCGTTTCCAGCCCGGCAAAAAGGATTCTCGGAACAATCACTATGGGATCATCTTCTCCTTTGAGCAGCGCCGCAAGCTACCGGATAACTTTCGCGCTCAGTCGATCTCGCCGTTCTTTTGGGCGCACAACACCGACATCAGTTCCGCCATTGGCATCTTCAAAGACGAGGAGCTCATCCGACCTTCGAAATGGCAGCAGCAGCCATCTCCCGTGCGTGCGTGCGTGCGTGCGTGCGTGCGTGCGTGCGTGCGTGCGTGCGTGCGTGCGTGCGCGCGTGCGCGCGCGCGTGCGTGCGTGCGTGCGTGCGTGCGCGGGCGCGTGCGTGCGTGCGTGCGTGCGCGTGTGTGTTTGTTTTTGTGTGTGTGTCTGTCTCTGTGTGTGTGTGTGTTTGTGCTTGTGCCTGTGCTTGTGCTTGTGGTTGCGCTTGTGCTTGTGCTTGTGCTTGTGTTTTTTGTTTGTGTTTGTGTTTGTGTGTGTGCGGTCATTAATTCAGTTCTACCGAAATTGCTCAGCCGGCAACTGGGTAAACTTTGGGCAGCCTTCACAACTTGATCAACTCTGGGCTTTGCTCGACATGGCTGGCAATTGCCACGCACGCAGGCTTCAGCAATATGGATGTGGTGTCTTACTGTTTGTTGATCTAAATAGTTTCCTGACTTCGCAAAGCTTGGGCCCACAAGTAGCATTCCGCAACTTGGGCTTCAGTTGGCAGCGCCGCAAACTTTCTTGTATGGCCAAGCAGCAATGAGGTGTTGGTTGCACGCGCTGCCTTGGGTCATTCACTAGGGGAAGACATTCATCAAAACAATCGCAGCAAAGATCAGACCGGCAGGGTCGCCTTGCACGTGAAAGCCAAAATTCACAAGTCACAGGTTCAGTTGTGGTTTTTGTCAGCCGCTTCGATCGTGCTGTAGGAGAAGTCAAATGCTGTAAAATCCGTTCTCAGCGCGCGAAGTTCAGAGTACTAGCATCGATGCCCGCACTGCTCCAGGATGGATTTGCCCAGAAGAGGGACCGAGCCCATCGCGGCATTCAAACCGACCGCGGCCCGCCAAAGGCCGACCGTTTGAGCATCGCTGGGTTTGGCCGAAAGCTGGGTTGCAAAAGAGTGGAAGTTCAAACAGCCCGGAATTGCCCCCGTTGAAACAGCCTGGCCAGCAGTCGCTTTTGCATGGCATTGCCCGTGACCAGGCTGGGCAGGGTGGGTTTGCCTTGCACTTAGCGGGCGAGCGAGCATCGCATTGCATTTGAGACCGACTCAAGGCCCAGAGTGCAGCTTCATGAACGAGTGGCCCTGGCGTTGCTTGTAAACGCTGCGTGCTGCCATTGGCCAGCTCACAGCAAGCATCAGGGCAAGACGGGCTTGAGTCAACGATGGGCTGAGCAGCCTGCTGGGCTGCAGCGCAAAATGAACTTGAAGTTGAGCAGTGCGGGGCTGCCAGGGCTGCCTGAGTGTGGAAAGCAACAGGCGGCACTGGGCCAGTTGGGCTGGCGAAGTCATACTGACCAGTCCCCAAAAGCACTGGCAGGCCTGGAAAAGTATAGTCGCCTCACCATTTTCCTAGCTGCAAGCTTCATGCCTGGCCGGCGTCGTTTGGCTGGCTTAGCTCAACCTGCCCTGGGCTACAAACGTTCACACGTTGCTCATCTGCGCAAACTTCTGCGGAAAATGCTGGCGAAGTGGCTTTGAGCTTACAACTTCAACTCAGGTTCAGCCCTAGCTCTCAGCTCCCAGACTCAGCCCCAGCCAAGACACAGTCAAGCTCAGCCAGAAGCAAGGCAAAGGCTATGGGGGTCGCTTCTGGGCTGCTGGAGCGGCACGGGCCGTGTAGATGACCTGAACAAGAAGCAAACCACTAAGATGGAGTCGAATGAGAGCAGTGCAAAGCGATAGGGACAGGAGCAACACGCTAAAGTTCTGGTTTGTGTGTGCCTTTGTTTTATTTAAGGTGTTTCGGTCTGCGACTGACGTTTGGGGGGCTTCCAGAGACAGATAGATCAGTTTTCACCACGCGTCGCACCTGCCAGGAAAGGCACAGACTTCTGTGCCAACTGTGAGCAGGATGAGATGGAAGCAGAGGGCAAAATGCGCCGCACGCTTCGGTCTCAAAGTTTGCGCCTGCACTCTCGCGCGCCTGATGGCCGCGTTGCAAGCAATTTGGCTGGAGCTGGCGCAGCATCGGGGCTAGCATTTGATATCTTGTTTGACATGTGTGTGGCAGCGATGGGCGCCGGAGATCTTGTCCGCTTTCTTCCGTGCAAAGCTTAAGAGCCAGAACCTCGCCAGGGCTGGCTGCGAATTGCACCCCAGAAGCACAATTGGAGACTGTGCTCGGAACACATGGTTTAAGCAGACGCTCAGGTCTTCGGGCAAGATTCCAGTGCATTGCAGGAGCAGGGCTTCATGAAGGGAAGGCGGCCCCCCTGTTCCCGTGCAACTTGCGAATCGTTGCAGAGTCATGGACACGTGGGCATTTGCGGAACCATGGACTATGCCAGGTTGTCTTTTTTGCGCCCTGCATTCAGTGACTCCGACACTCCATGCCAAATGTTCACGTCAACTGACTCATTGCTCGGATCTCAGGTGTCCCTATGATCATATCATGTTGTTTCACATCGCATACAACTCCATTGCGCAGCTTGCAATATCAGCTCGACGCACGTCCAGTTCAAAATTAAAGAGTACCCGAAGCAACTTGCGGATAAAGCAGCATCTTTACTCGCTGCTGATTCCTCTGAGCGAACACAGGCCTGGCCAGCCTATGCGCTTCCAAGCACCTTTCTGGTGCCAAGGCTGATCTGATGTCAGCCTGCACCTTAAAATGGGGATGTGAAACCAAGAGCCCGCGCTTTTGTGTTCTTGCATATCCCCGTCGACATCAATGGGGCGGGTGGACAACAGTTTTGTTTGCATGCTTGCAACTCCATGCATAGATGTAGTGCCACACTGAGGACCCCTCGGGCTGGTGCGCCACCGATCTGCTCTTCGCGGACTCGGCGCTGCACCCTGCTCCGAGGCATGCGAGGGACTTCTAGACCGCCAGCCTGTTTCAACCGCGACGAGCCGGTTCCCGTTTCGAGCTGGGACACCTCCACAAGCAAGAGATTCAGCTTGAAACATGCCAACGCCAAACAGCCATGTGAAATGCGCTTTGCAACCAGCAATTTCCACATGCGAGGATTGCTTCCACCTGCAAGCAGTCCGGTGCCGTTGTCAGGCCGGCCCCCAGCAGCGGCAGCGGCATTTTTGTGTAGGTTTAAAGGGGTGGCAATGCGGTGGCAAGACAGTTCCCCTTGCTACAATCCACGCAATAGAACAAAGAGTCACCCGAGACTTCCATCCCCTTGTCACAGGTGTAAGCGTTCAGCCCGCGCGGTTCAGGCAGGGCGTATATTATGCCAGTTTTTGATCGTGAGTGCATGCACTGGTCCTTCCTGGGCAAATGGATGGGCCGCTTGAGTTTGGGCAGGCGGCCGAAATCAAATGCCAGGCCAGACGCAACTACTGTTGGTGTCAGTAGGACAATTATTGTTGGGCCAATCCACAACAGGGAGGAATGAGTTTGTTGGCAGTCGGATACTCCTTGTTCGTTGGCTGTCTTCCAATTGACCCTGGGCGGTTGAGTTCGGCCGATGCCTTCAGATGGCGACGCAATGCTTCCAAAAGAGTTCACCAACGTGGCGCCCATCAGCCATGTGAATTGAGGCCCCGGCCTGAAGGGCATCTAGGGGTGGACCTCCAAATGCAGCAGTTCCAATGGAACCCAACCCAGTCGATGGCAGCCGCTGTTTTGGGGAAACGCAGGGACAGTGTCTAATCAAAGGCTTGATGCCGAGCACCAACTCCTCTGGCGGCTGCGCCAACGAGGCTGGATGTGTCAGCGCCAATCCAGCCTGGGCTCAGCAGCCTGCACTGGCCCACCTTGGGCAGAACCCTGCCAGGCCATGTGCTTTGCCTTAGTGTGGCACTGCTCATGTGCGCCAGACATGTGCAGCTACTTGAAAACTTGAAACATCTGCAGGTGCCTGGCACGTGGTCCAAGCTGAGCCCAGCAGCACACAGTCCCAAAAAGGACGTGCCCAACATGCCATTGTGAGCAAGACAGCGCTTGTGGCAATGTGTGGAGTTGATGCAGGAGGCAAATCAACCCTTACAACCTGCTGGGCTCAAGCAATGATAGTCACTGGGCAAGCGTGGGCAGACATCCCGAAGCCTCAGGGAAGATGTCGTACATGTCGGAACTTGTGGACATGTCCCACACTGCCAGCTCGTGCCGTGACGAGCAGGTGGAGGAGATGAAGGGTCTCAAGTCGACGAGCAGCTCTGTCTTCCTGCTGAGCGCCATGTCCCTCGGGGTGGGCGTCTTTTCGCTGCCAACAGTGATGAACGCAGTCGGGTGGGTATGGGGAATGGGCCTGTGCTGCTACTTTGGCGTGATATCGACCTTCCTCATGCTGATTCTGTTGGATATCGTGAAGCATCACAATAGCAAGACATGGGAGGAGCTTTGCCGCCTTGCCCCTGTGGCGCGCCTTGTCAGCCGGATCAGCCTCTTCCTCTCCCTGCTGATGGCGAACGCCGCCCACATGCAGACCGTTGCAGGAATGCTCTTTGACCTCTTGACGTTCTTTGTCACGGATGACTACGGCCAGTACGTGTTTGGCATGTGGCAGAAGGTGACCTTGCTTCTTATCTTCCTCGGCCTGGCCACCCCATTCTGCTTCACTGACGATCTGGCTGCCCTGCGCCACGTGGGCAGCAGCGTCGCCATCGTCGTAGTGCTGCTCTGTGCCGCTGTTGTGGTTTCTTCTTGCGTAACCATTGCGCAAGGTGAAGGACTGCCCGGGGGCGAAACGCCAGCTGCAGTGACGGACTTCAAGCTGCTGCTGTCAAATGCTCCTAACGTGTGCTTCGCGTTTACCGGCATGCTGAATTTCTGGGAAGTCTTTGCCTCCCTGAAGAAGGGCGTGGGGGTTGACGAGGCTTTTCCACGCATGAGGAAGGCTTGTATCCTCTCTTCTATGCTAGTGCTGATAGTCTACTTGTTGGTGTCGGGCAGCTCAGTTCTGGCCTTTGGCGAACTCGCCGGCAAGCAGCACAAGGGCAACGGCTACGGGAACGTACTGTACAACTTCCCAATAAAGAACTACCCTGTGACGCTTTTGTGCGCTGCGTTGGTGGTTGTGATCGTCCTCGAGTATCCAGTCATCAACTTCCCTTTGGTCAGCATGATGTTGAACATTCAGAGCTTGGGTTTGAAGAATCGGGTCTACTCGCGCCACTTTCTCAGCCTCGGCGGGCGCCCGAGCTTCAAGAAAGTGTTGTTTTTTTTCAGGTTGCCAACTTTGAAGCAACATCTAAATGAGAACAACTTGTTCAGGTGTTGTGCTTTTGATAGCAAGGATGCTCATCGTGATCCTGCTCGACCTGGCAGTGCCTGACTTGCCTGACGTGTTCGGCCTGTGCGGCTCCCTTGGCCTCAGCCTTTTCTGTTACGCAGTGCCTGGCTACATTTGCATGCTGGCGGGCCGGGGCCCTCTCTCAAAGATGGTGGGAGCTTTGTCGCTGGCAACAGGCCTTGCCATGACTTTGGGGGGCACGTACTTCATCCTGGAAAGGATTATCAAGAGCCACCACTGAAATTTGAAGCTCCGAAGGAGCACATTGGTTTAATATCCCCTGCGGCTACCAGGGCCGGGGTGTTGGAGTGTGCAGATGTGCTTCAACGAACAAACAAAATTGCCAAGCCGCTGCAACCTGCTTTCCATTTGCGCGACGGCTCTCGCCTAAAGAGTGTCGCAATCTAAAACATCATGCCCAGAGATCACTTAGCGCTTGTGCTAGCGTGGTTTTTTGTCCTGGTATTTAGCGCGAATAAGATTATGTTTTTTTTAGCCAGCCAGAGACTGGAAATCTTGAAATATCCAGGTTTTGCAAAAAATCATCGATTTGGTTATCCTCAAACCTATCCAAAAAATTATCCTATAATCATCTTCTGCAAAAAATATTTTTGAATAATTATCCTCTCCTTCCTCCTTCATCCCTCCTCCACATCGCTTCTATTCTTTGCGTTTGCATTTTCCTTTCCTTCCCGTTCTTTCCCGTTCTTTCCCGTTCCTTCTCGTTCCTTCCCGTTCTTTCCCGTTTTTTACCCTTTTCCATTTCTCTCTTTTTGTTTCCATGTTTTATCTCCTTTTTCTTTTTTCTCTTCTTTGTTTTTTCTAATTCTCTTTGCCCTGCTTTGTTCTTTCTTTCCCTTTTCATTCTTCCTCTTTTTGAGATTGATAGGAAAAGCAAAAAGTTGCAAAACCCGCCTGTTGTTTTTTTAATTATCGAAACATTATCGTTAATCTACATTTTTTGGACTAACCCCCCCACCTTTATAGTGGTTAGGAAAGCAAAAAATTGTAAAACCCTCCTGTTTTTTGAAAAATTATCTCTAACCCCTTTTTATAGTGGTTAGGAATGCAAAAACATGTAAAATATTCCTATTGTTTGCATTAAAAAAATCTTCGAAAAATCATCCTAATCGGAATCTATATCTTCAAAGAATCATCTAACAAATTATCTTGTTTGATATTAACCTTCCAAAAATTATCCTTCTTATTTTCCTCCCCTGTTCTTTAGCCTGGAACATGATTTGAAACGAGCTTTAACATAGCCACCGTTAGACATTTTTTGCGTAAAATGGTTCTATCTAAATTGTTTTATGGCTGAAGCTGAAGGAAACCCACCAAAGCAAGCCAAGCAAAGCTAAGCCTAGCAAATCAAAGCAAAACATAACAAGCGAGCGAAGTAAAGCAAAACAAAATAAGTGAGCGAGCAGGCAGGCAGGCTTGAGGATAATGAAAAAACGATAAGGATAAACAAATGATAATCTGGAGGATAATGATAAACGATGAGGATAAAAAAAGGATAGTGTTGAGGATTATGAATTCGATGTTAAAAAAAAAAAAAGATACCTTAATGTGTGTTTACAAAAATGTTATAAGAATGAGAAGAACACTATGGTTAGATATACCTGCAAAGAATTGATGCAGCGGCTGCTTCTGCAATTATGGACAGTTATTGGGGGAAGAGCGGCGTGATTTAGACGATTCGCTCTAAGCACTGCGCGGTTTTACTTAAGTGAAGTTTGAAGGCAATTCGGTCTTGATTGGAGGTGCTAGGCTCTGTAGGATTTAGGGACTTGGAAAAGGAATCTTGATTTGAATGATCGTCTCCCTGAACCATCTGCAAAAATGTGTTTCTTGGCATGAGATCCTGCAATATACCCGTATCGTTTAGATTAGGAACCAAAATTAGTTAGGCAGAAAGGCATGGAGCAAAGAACTGCAGTTCGCAAGGTCTCTCATCCACAGCGAGGAGCATGTTAACGGAGAACAACTCTCGATGGAAGTGTTTGTTTTTTCGGTGGGTCTGCTAGCGATGTCTTAGAGTTTAGCGTCGCTCGCAGTACGTAAGCCACTCTCGTAGCCGAAGCCCCGCGTAAGCCCTCGCGAAAGGCATTGGTGTCTTGCATTCACGAAACAACGTCTTTTTTTCAATTCGAGATCAAAAGCCAAAAAAGAGGGCCCCCAACTGCGCTAAACACGTGTAGAATCAATCCTTTGAGTGTCTTATTGAGAAAGGCGACAAGCCTCAAAAACCCAAATAAAATTCTCGACGATTTGCGGTTATGCGGCGCTCGTTCACAGGTTTTATTTGTTCTGGATAGAATAAGCACCCTTTTTATATTATTTGATTATAATATATTTATTATATAATTAATATATATATATTTAATAATATATATATATAGTTTAGTATTTATATATAATTTATATATATAATATGAGTTTGATATAATTTGTTTATATATTTTTACGAAAATAATATATATATATATATTTGTATTGTGTTTGTTTTTATATTTTGTTTAATTGTTAATTTTTATTTAATATTTTTTAATTTATTTTATATTATTTATTTAATTTATTTATTATTATTATATTATTTAATTTAGTATTAAAAATAATTAATATATGTTAATATAATTTATTAATATATATTTTTTATAAACCAGTATAGGCTCAAAATTATATTATATATATATATCGGTAAATTGTTATAGCGGTATTTTAGCCGAATTATAGTGTTTATAACGATTAATTATATTTATCTCGGTCGTTTCTCCATAATATGAGTTACCACCTCTTCGCGCGGCCCGGAAGACCCCGGCAAAATTTCGGGGGTTCTTAATAATTTTGCTTAGAATTTTCGTAACGTAAGTCGGACAATTTTTCCCGAATTTTGTGGCGTTTTCGGCGATGTAGTTCTAAGATTTCCGGACGTTACCTCGCAAATTTCTTTAGAATTTAGTGGCTTTCCGAAAAAAATACCGGGCCAGATTTCGGGGGGGAAATTTTAGGATTTGTCCGAATCGAAATTTCTCGAAAATTTTGTGTTAGGTGTGTTCGTATGTTTGCTTCTCTTTGTGTCTTTTAGTCTATTTCTATATATCCGTATTTATTTGTTTCGTAAGCTCTGTGTTGTATATCCTAATTTATTTCTTTTTAGTGTTTGCGCGTCTCTATCTTTATCTGTCTCTCTGTGTCTTTCCTCGGATTGTCTCGGTTTGTCTCTCTTTTTCTCTCTCTTTTCTCTCTTTCTTTCTTTCTTTCTCTCTTTCTCTCTCTCTCTCTCTCTTTCTCTCTCTTTTTCTCTCTCTCTCTCTCTCTCTTTTTCTCTCTCTCTCTCTCTCTCTCTCTCTTTTTGTTTCTCTTTTTTTCTATTTTTCTTTCTCTTTTTCTTTCTCTTTTTCTTTCTTTCTTTATTTCTTTCTCTTTTTCTCTCTCTCTCTCTCTCTCTCTGTTTCTCTCTCTTTTTCCTTTTTTTTCGCTCTTTTTTTTTTTCTCTCTTTTTTTTCTCTCTCTCTCTCTCCTTTTTTCTCTGAAAGAGAGAGAGCGAGAGAGAAAAACAAAAGATTTCTCTCGGGTCGGAGATCTTTGGGGAATTATTGTCTCTACCTCGGGCGTCTCCGCTAGTAGCAACTCCTCCTACTATGGGTCTCTCTCTCTGTCTCTTTCTCTTTCTCCCTTTTTGTTTCTTTTCATTCTTTCTTTCTCTATTTGTCTTTTTCTTTCTCTTTCTTTTTCTCTCTTTCTTTATTTTCCCTCTTTCTTTTTATTTTTCTCTCTCTCTTTTTGTGTTTGTCTTCTCTTTGTTTTTATTTCATGTTTTTTGTTTTTTCGTTTTTTTTCTTATTGTTTTTGTTGTTCTCTTCTGTTTTTTTTTTTTTTTTTTTGTGTTTCTTTTTTTGTTTATTTCTTATTGTGTTTCTTTTGTTTTTTATTTTTTCTCTTTCTTTTTATTATTCTTATTTTTTTTGTGATTGTTTTCTTGATATTGTTGTTGATGGAATTAATGGATTCTCTCTAGTATAATATATATAATAATACTATTTAGAGGTTTATGGGCCTTTTTAGGGAGGGCCCGGGATTTTTTAGGAAGGGATTAACTTGTTTGTTGGATATGGGGCCTTTTATGAATTCTTAATATAATTTGGATGGGATGGATAGATTATTGTTTCGAATTACAGTTCTTTTATTTGATGGGGGTTTTGGCTTAATTATTCGATGGTTATTCGGTGGTTATTCGATACTGATAATAAGTCGAAAATAAGTTTGGTAATTTAAAGGTTTTCTAAAAACAGTAATTCGTGGGCTTGTGATGTTTTGCGAGAGGTTAAGGGGTCTAAATATGAGTTGGGAGTATTTAGGAGTAGAATATGTATTTTGTTTATTGTAAATGGTGATGTTTTTTTTGTGTAATTGGATTGTTTTAGACTTATTATTGGCTTGCTGGCTTGTTTGGTCCGGTTGTTGTTTTTTTTGGGAACCGATTTTTTTTTTTCCGAAGGGTTTCTAGTTTATTTCTTTTATATGATTGTTTTTTTTGTGTACTTGGCTCTTTTTAAGACTTGTTATTAGCTTGCTTGGTCGGCTTGCTACTTTTCGTGAAGTTGGTTTTTCCTATTAGGCTTCTGTGTGGCTGTCGCTTTATTTCTCAATTGTTTTTTCTTTAGGGCCTATTATTGACCTGCTTGGTCCTGTCTATGGTTGCCATTTTTTTGGGCGAAATTGGTTTTGTTTTAGGGTCTGTTATTAGTCTGCTCGGTCGGGCTGGTGATTTTAGCGAAGTGGGAGTTGTTATAGGGGTTCGAATTTTCTTGTTGTGTGTGAATGCCATTTCTTTTGTGCAATTGGATTTTGTTGAGGGCCTGTCACTGGCCTGCTTGGTCGGCCTGGTCTTTTTCCTGAGGGCTTCTAATTTGGTTGCTTTGTGTGGCTGCCATATTGTTTTATGCAATTCTTGCTTTTATAGGAGCTTGTTATTAGTTTGCTTAGTCGGGCTACTACTTTTCGTCGTTTTTCATGGAGTTGGATTTGTTTAATATAACTTCAAATTTGTTTGTTGTGTGTGGCTGTTATGTTTTTTACGCAATTGGATTTTTGTTTAGGGCCTGTTTGAAAACTCGATTACTTAGGCTCGGGTGCACTGCGGAGCGCACCTTTTCCTTGAGCCAAAATACAAGTAGTGTGTTAGGTCTTTATACCTATACACATCAGTATTCCTCCTTGCTGGAAGAGCGGTTCTGTACACGCTCGCACAGCAATCCGGTAGCGGAGTCTGGCCAGGGACCTTAGCTCCCCAAGGAATAACCACACCTCTTCATGATTTCTGTCATCTGTACA